ACCCTTAAAGTATTATAATTCAATTCTAAAATACCCCCAAATTCCTATATCTTATGTATAAATTGTCCATAAAATAGATAATTTTTAAGTAATTGCCTTGGAGCGGGGAATGGGAAATGGATGCCCTGCCCCGCCACTAGGGACGGGGCAAGGTATCGTGACTTCGGGGCGGGGACGGGGAGGGGGTGCCTTGCCCCAAACCCGCCCCATTGCCATTCCTATCTTCAGTTAATCGATTAAACTAACCGAAAGGGAAACAATTTTTTTATGTCAGTTTTCCTTTCCTTTTAGTCGGTTTCAGTTGGTCTATTGGTCAATTTGAGAGTATCAATTTGGTTGGTGTAAATAAGTAAAACCGAATTGACCCGACCCGCGAACAACCCTATCTAGAGGGTGTAGAATTTGACTAATTGCTAGATCTAGACAAGGACTAGCTTCAAAAACCATTTGTAGTTGAAGTGGAGAAGCTCTAAAGGAACTAAATAGGAATAAAGCCCTTGGTTCGAATGAATTCCCATTAGAATTCTCTAGTAAATGTTGGTATTTCTTTAAAGAAGATTTCATGGATATTATGAAGGACTCCTAATATGCTTTTGTTGATGTTGAAGGGATGAGAGATCCATCATATGGATGGCCAAACCCTGCTGGAAGGTTGGGCGAAATTTCAAAAATTTCTCTCTCTCTCCCATGTGGGAATCACATTCCCTATTTTAGAAAACTACATTTTCAATGATCAATCTTGAACCTAAACCAGACCAGATCTGAAACCAAAAGGGAGTGGAGGGATATACCTGATACGAAGTAGTAATAACCTCCAATGAAGGTGTTCACGCCCAAGGAAAGATTCAAAGACTGCTTCCACCAAAGATAACACAGTGCAGGATGAAGTAAAATCATTAGGATGGTTCTTTAGCAAGAACCGAATTCTTCAGCAAGAATCTGATGGAGGGCTAGTGAGCACAACTTCAGATTACCTTTTCTGCCAAAAGGTAATATCAAGAACTCTTTTTGATCGTTCCCACAGGTGGAGATCGAACTGATAGGGGTGGCAAGAGCAGGAAAGAGGGAGACAATGCAGTCAAACTGTGTTGTCTCTCTCTGGAAATCAACAGTCACTCGGATGATTTCTGTTATGTACTGAGGGTTTGCCCTGCTCTCCTATTTATAGCCTTAAATAGAGGTTCTCCTAATCTCATTAGGAGTTTCCTAATCCAAATCTTGTATTTGGATCTGGACTCTCTTTAAGAGATAAGGATAATCCCTTATCTTATCGTCAGATAAAGATCAGCCATCCTAATCTAATTAGAAGTTTCTTGATCCAAATCTTTATTTGGATATGGACTCTCTGAGTGGATAGGGATAATCCCTTATCCTATATGCTGATCTAAATCCTAGAACCGCCTCCTTTTAATTAATCTCATTAAGCCAGTTCAAATTGGACTTTAGGCCCATTAAGTCCATCTGCTCACTTAGCCTCCTAACTACTGCCCAGTTGGTTATCCTTATATAGCGTGGGACCCAAATATTGATCTACACATCAGCCACATGGGTTCAGCCCAGCCTCTGTTACAAGGCATGGCCGAATTCACTATAGGGGACAGTGAATCCCTGAGTCCATCACCATGGGCTCTTAATAGGCCCAACATTTACACTAAATGGTCCCTGGGTCAARCCACCTTATAAAAACCCAAGGACTGTGGGCAGATGCAAGATTAGCCCATCAGGTGTTATCCTTAATGGTCTTACACTTAACCTCTCAGCCCATAATGATCA